GCATGACACTAAGGAAAGCCCCTGAGTTGTGGTTTTCATCTTTAAGTTCCCAGGACACAGGCCACGAAACTGCTGTTCTCCCACAGAGCTTCAGTCTCTATGGGTGGGTGACAGTCTCTGGCCAGGTAAATAAAGCTCTCATTGATTTGAATTTGGACTTAACAGTGTTTTCTGTAGTGGTTCCCCCATAACAATGGCATCTTCTCCACTACCACCCACTTCCCCACTTCCCCACCAGCACCCCGAAGCCAGGTGGGAGGTTGAGATGGGGGTATAGTCATGTTTCAGACAAGGAGTAAGTCACACACTCTGTAAAGTACCTGGAACAACATCTGGATGCTCAACAGAGGTGACACCACCTGCTGCCTCTCCACCTAGTCCGGGCCCCTGCACCACCCCAAGTCCCCAGAACAGTCTGAGCAGAGCTGCCTGGGGTGAGCAGCTCCAGAGCCTCAGAGCTCATGGTGAGTATCCTGAGGGGGCCTCAGAGCTCATGTGAGGATGCAGAGGTGCCAGTGCAGCTCTGAGCCCAGCAGCCTCCCTCTCCACACCCGACGGCTGGGCCATGCCAGCTTGCCAGTGTGGAAGGCACAGGGGACTGTCTCATCTCTCAGACTGTACTGTACCCCTCTACCAACCCAAGAAGGAGTCCTGGGCCCTCTGGAATGTTCCCTGGCCAAGTAGGTAGAAGCTTGCCATCCTGCAGCTAATCCCTCAGCGAGACCTGAGGATACCCAGGGAACAGGGATAAACAGAGCTGCACCTGCTTGCGGACTGCAGGCCCCTGGCCTCTGATCCAGGAGGGCTTTCTCTTCCAGTTCCTTCTGTGCTTGCCCACCATGCACCCCACACTCCATGCCCAATCCCTTCCCACTCTTGTACATCAATGCCCACTTACTAAACAACGATCACATGGATTCTGCAGTTCTGTTCCGGTGCCCCAACAGGCCTGCTCACACGTGTGCTTCCTTCTCTCTTCTTGCAGAATACTAATTGCTCTGCACTCCCCGTTGCCATCTGTCTACCTGTGAGCAGCCTTTTTCTTGAGGCGTTGGTCCCTTAGCCAAACCAGTGGGGACTTTGCAAACCAGGGGCTCAGGGATTACCCGCTCCTCCCAGGAGTCCTGCTTCAACCCAGACTCAAAAGAGCAATCAACTAGGGGGGAAAGATCGTGTAGATGACTCCTCAATGCCACAGTTTCCAGCCACCCAGGTGACAGGACCTCAAGGCTCTCCTCTGCACCTGAGCCCCTCCCATAACCTCTGCCTGGAAAGTTCCTCTTCCTTCCCAGTTCTCTGGGAAGTGTGTCTTCTGGCCCTGTCACAGAACTTCCCAATGGATTCTCAACACACCTGCACCCACCACTGCAAACCTGACCCCCCTCCTCCATCTCTGCAGGGCAGCAGCTGAGCATACCCAGCCCAGTTCTCCTAGGGTAGATTCCCTTGGCATGAGCTGACTTCGAGATGTGTGAAGGAGTTGTGTCCTCTCAGACCTTCCTTGGGAGAGCCCCAGAGGTGTCCAGRGCCCCTGACCCTGTGAGTAACTGGAAGGTCATCTTGCTCTTGTCCCCAGCCTCTACTGTTTCTCTGCTCCCTTCCACATTTAGGAGACCAAAATATGTCTTCAATTATGATAGTAGGAGACCAGAATATGTCCACAAATATGACTATGGCGACCAGAATATGTGCCCCAAATTTTTTTGCCTGCTTAGCATAGGATTATGTTGAACTAGTTTGAGAAACAGGAGCCACCAAAAAAGTTCTGAGAATAAGAATAGAAGTTACCCTTTTGTAAGGGAAATTCACATCCTTAAAGGACTCTTCCCCTGAACCCAACAGAGATGTCATCCTTGTGCACCTGGATGGTGGATCTCCCCCATACCTCCTTCTTTGTTTTCAAGGACAAGGATACTTATATCTGAAAGCAAATCATAGTCTCCAGGCCTGCTCACCTGCCCCAGGCCTCCCAGTACCACAGATCAGAGAAAATCACTTTTCCTCCCAACATCACAAGGCTCCTGGCCCCTCTCAGGGCCCGTTCCAACTGTACCCCCAAGCTGTTCCAGGATCATCTGACAAAGACCAGGTGACCTCCACATGGCCTCCTCCAGACCACTGGTCTCTCCTTCCTCTGCCCATGAAACCAGCACTGCTTCTGGCCCTTCCAGGAACACCTTTGGGGCTTCTTGGGCTTCCTGAATCCCCACACAGACTCCTGTACCTCCTGGCCTGACGGGGGGTAGGGTGTTTTCAGCCTCTGGTCTTCTCCTCTGCATCCTTCCTGGAGATGATTCATCCCCCACCCCCCGACTCCAGCATCCAAGTCTGCTCCTCCACGCATCTGCTCTCCCAAGTCCACTGCTTATTCCACCTTCAAGCCACCTCCCACCCAGGTCACCTCCCCAGCACAGTAGACAGGCATCTGCCTCTCCTGAGCCCAGGTGCCCTCTGTCACCACTCTCCAAAGGCCCATCATGCTCCAGACACAACCCACCATCTGGCAGCCACTTGCAGGCCTCACAAGGGTTACCATCACCCCACAGACTACCCCTGCCCTGTCCTCTTTCCCAGCCCCAGGTCCCTCACTCAGCTCTAGTCACCAGGGCCCCTGCACTTCCCCAAGTGTCAGGCTGACCATGTCCAGGGACCTTGCACTTGGGTCTACCTGGAGCACCACTGACATATTTCCTGGTATGGCATTCTACTCAAATGTGCAAGTTTCTATCTAAATATCACTCTCAATCTTCCCTGGACAATATAGTGTAGACTCCTCACAGAATGCATCACCCTCTCTGCTGAATCCACAACTCCTGGAACCAGCTGGAACTCCTGGAACCATCAGCCGTTTATTGGGGATTCAGCCTGAGGACAAAAAAAGCCCAGAACCATCTCTGGTCTTGGATGGGGCAACATGTCATCAAAAGATGCTGTGCCTGGCCTGGTGGAGCCTCTACCCACAGAGGAAAGAGGTGGAGGCCTGATGGCAATTCAGGCCCTTTGAATATGTCTGTATGTGTCTGGGTGCTTCTGAATCTGTGTGTTTACGTGTATTCATGTGTGTGTGTGTGCATCTGTGGGTGCATCTGTGTGTTTGTTCTTTGTCTTTGTGATTTCTATGAATGAACAGATTGAATCAAATCAAATTATTGCTTAAATCAAAATTTAAAAAAAAAAGAAAGCAGGCATGGGCGTTGTGCTCCCCTTTAGGGTGTGTTCTGCCTTCAGGTCTCTTTTGCACATCTCTTGAGCTTGCTAGCTCTGGCCACAAGATGGACCTATTATTGTCCCTTCCTTGGGCACCTGTTCTGCCCTCTGTCCCCAGGTACAACTGTGAGCAAGCAGACATCAGAGACTCCGAAGTGGAGCATGTGCATTTTGGGGGGAGACAAAGGACAAATAATAAAAAAGAAAGTGTCATCAAACCGTGACAGGTGTTGTGAGGAAAGCAGAGCAGGAGTGGGGCTGGGAGGAAGGGTCTCCTAGAATGACCTGACTGCTAGACAATGTTTATGGCGGGGAGGGGGACCAAGAACTACATAAGGGAGCCATCCAGTGGTTGGATGGGAGTCCATAAAAATCACTGGGAGACTTGGAAAACCTCAGGGAGGCCCCCACATTTACGTTCCATATACTGAGTCAGGCCACCCACCACCCTTCTCCCTGAGGACACTAGTCACAGTTCCACCTTCGGTACCCAGAGGCCATGGGAGGGACGGCGACTGCAGTCTGACATTGGGGAAAGCAGGCTCAGACCTCAGCTCCTCCCTGCTGACCCCAGGCCTTTCGGGCTTCCTTCTCACCCTCTGCTTCAGTTCTTATGCCTCCTTGGCCTCTCTGGAACCCTGTCCACACATGAGTTCACAGTCAGTGTGGGCAGAAGGGAGGGAGGAACAGGCTCCCCTTCCAGGGTTTGGAACTTCGTCTTCCTGGGGCCCATTTCTAGGTCCAACCTGTGTTTACTGTCTGGTATTAGCTCCCTACACCAATGTAACCTTCTCCTCATGCTCCAAGGAGCTGAACTTGGCCCTTTCACCCTTTCAAACGGCCAGTTGGGTTGAAATCTCTCCTTCACTCAGATGGCCAGCTGATGCCTAAACAATGCTAGGCACTGGAACAAGCACCAGACTCAACAGTGAATCTTCGGGAATAATGTGCCCAAAGCTCTGGATTCACATGAGAAAAAAATGAGGCCCAGAGAGGGCATTGAGAAGCCCAGGTAATACAGCAAGGGAGGCCTGACAAAGAAGCGGCTCCCTAGCCTGGCCCCCACCCCACAAGCCCCTCTCTCCTCAGACCTGCAGGAGAGGCTGCTGGGTGGGGACTTTCCTGGACCTGCTCTACCGAGGCCTTGAGGGCCCAGGGCCTGTCTGCCTGGCCTGGATCTGTTTGTGACCGTCCTCCACTTACCTTCCCCCTGCTTTGATTCCTATTCCTTACTTGGGGCTTGAGGTCCGGAAGGCCTGTGGCCGCAGAAGAGGCCGGCTATGCCAGCAGCACTCCCCTTGGGTGTGCACCGCTTAATCGCTGGGGGGTCCGAAGGCAGTGGGGACTTGCCCGCCCCGCCCACCGCAAGGAAAGTGCCGCCTCCTCCACCCACGTCCCAGTGCCCGACGAGCCTTGCTGGGAGCCGGGCAGCCAGGGTTAAAACGCAGGCGTGGTCCCCCTGGGATGGGGTGGGGTAGGGAGGGCCTCGGCGCCCGGCAGCCTCGCAGCTGTTCTGGCTTCCTTTAGGATTGGGGCCCAAAGCGCTGTCCTCCGGTCCTCTCCTGCGGCGGTGGCACCGGCGCCCCCTCTGCCTTCTCGCCGGCTACGGTACGGCCGTCCGAGACAGGGGTGTGGGGCGCAAGGTCGCCGCCCGGCGGGGAGCTCATCCGGCGGCGCAGACGCCCAGCGGCTCCGGGGAGGGACTTGGCCTGGTTCTGGCCCCCGGCTCTTCGGGGAGGAGCCGCAAGGCTGCAGCTGGCGGCAGCGCCGGCCCCGGCGGGCGGGCGGAGGTCCTGGAGAGGCAGCCAGGCCGGAGCCCCTCTGGACAGAGTCGGCGGCGGTCGCCCTCGCTACCGCGGTCCTTGGTGGAGCCTCTCGGTCTCTCTGCAAACTGGAGAGGAAGCGCCCTCTCCTCCAAGGCCCGGAGCTGCAGCGGCATCGCGGGGCGCGGCCGAGGGGAGGAGAAAGCAGAGAGCGAGCGAGCGACCGGGCCCAGCAGTGCCTCGCGGGGCTGCGGCTCCGCCAATCTGCGGGCGCTGACGCGGGGGGCGGCTCCGCGGCGGTCGGATATCTGCCGGCCGGGCGCGGGGCGCCGAGAGCTCGGCCGTGCGGGCGCTGCGCTCTGGGACACCAGCTGCACCTGCCCGGCCTCGCCGGCCGCTCCGTGCGCCCCCTCCCGACCCTCACCCCGGTCCAGTCTTCCGGCCACAGCCTGACCAAGCCGAGCCCTGAGGGAAGGAGCCTCGCGCGTTCTCGCCCGCCGGGCACCCAGCGTGGCCCACTGAGCCCGCCGGGAGGAACGCTGTGTGGATCTGATGCGTGGCACCCGGGCGGAGATGGGTAGCTGTGCCCCGGCCCTGCGCGCCTGATGAGAGCGGCCGCGACTCGAGAGACCTGCGCCGGTCGCTACGAGCGAGGTGCCTCACCTGGCTGCGCCCCCTGCCACCCGCGATCCCAGTTCCTCCAACGACAACCACTGGCCGCTCCCGAAAGGCCGAAAGGGAACGGCCCGGAGATGGCCTGGGGAGCTGGCGCTTTGGTGGCGGATATCTTCCACGTCGTTCACGCCCGGGGACAGCCCCGGAGCTGGTAGCTTCTCGGCACCGAATGGACCTTGACCCGCGAGGCGGCGCCGCGTTCGTGTCGAGCCGCGGTTGAGCAGCGCGAGTGGAGCGCGCTCCCGAAGGGCGCCCGAGTCCCAGACCCGCTCGCTTTCGTGGCCATGAAGATGATCCTGGTGCGCAGGTTCCGCGTGCTCATCCTGATGGTGTTCCTGCTGGCCTGCGCGCTGCACATCGTGCTGGACTTGCTGCCCAAGCTGGAGCGCCGCGCCGAGCGGCCCTCTGGTGAACCCGGTTGCTCTTGCGCTCAACCCGCTGCCGAGGCGGCTGCGCCCGGTTGGGCCCAGGCACGGGGCCGCCCGGGGGAGCCCTCGGCCGCGGGAGACGCGGGCTGGCCCAACAAACACACGCTGCGCATCCTGCAGGACTTCAGCTCAGACCCTGCCTCCAACCTCACGTCCCACTCTCTGGAGAAACTGCCGCCTGCAGCTGAGCCGGCTGAGCGCGCCTCCAAAGGGCAGGAGCCTGGAGACCAGCGACCGCGCGACCCTGCTCACAAGCCGCTACTGCGAGACCCCGGTCCCTGGCGGTCCGCGCCGCCCCCTAGCCCCAGCAGGGAGGGCTCCCTCTTGGCCAGATTATTCGAGCACCCGCTCTACCGTGGGGCCATTCCGCCTCTGACAGAGGACGACGTCCTGTTTAATGTGAACAGCGATATCAGGTTCAACCCCAAGGCAGCTGAGAACCCGGACTGGTGAGCGGGGACTGAGGGTGACCAGGGTGGGGCTGGCAGGTCCGACCCCTGAGGGAGTCGCTCACCCTTTCAGGATAAAGGTGCACTAGGGAAAATACTCTCCACTCCCTGGGGGGTATTATTGTGTAGGAAGGCTCAGGGACCCGTGGAAGAGGGATCGGGTGCCTGGTGGGCGGGGCAGCCCGGCTCCTGCTCGGGATCTGCCTTTGTCTCTAGGATGACTTCCTCCCTGAAGGAACAGCAGTTTGGGAGGTTCCCTAGCCCTGGGGTGGAAGTGGCGCTGGACACTAGAGCCAGGGGAGCCCAGTGCTCCACTTACAGGAAAGAGTGCTGGCTAGCCCTAGTTTCTGGCATGGGTGAATGAATGCATTAGAGAACGAGGGAGCTAGTGGGTGAGGCTCCTTTCCCCCCAAGAAGCTGCTGGGCTGCCAGCTTTCAGATGCTTGATGACACTGTTCTGGGTGGACACCTTGAAAAGCCCTGGAGTCTTTTAAAACCAGTTGCTAAGGACAAAAATTAACAGAAGAGTGTGTGCCAGCAGCAGCTAGGTGCAGCACAGAGGCTGTTCCTAGAAGGGTGTGGACAGCGGCTGCCCTGGGCCATCTGCAGAGAAGCCACAGCTTTGTAACAAGAGAGAAGCTGCCCCAGGATGTTTGAATTGCCTTGCTTTGAACCCTTCCCCCAAAGTCTTTCCCTCAGTTCTACAGATCCAAATAAACAGATGCTCTGGCCCAGAGCAGTGAAATATTAACTACCAGCAAGGTCAGAACAAATAGCTACCTGCAAAGGTTACCGGAGCAACGGTGGAAAGACTAGGCTTCCAAACATCTCAGCAAAACCCTTTCTATCTGAAATCTGACCAGGCCCTAACCTGTGCTTTGCGCCTACATATGAGGTTGTTTGGTGGCCCATGAGCTTTGCTGGCCAGATTCAAGGCAATGCTCAGAAACTCACATCTGACGAATGGTCCCAGCCTGTGGTGTCCATGGGGAGGGGACATTACAGAGCAAGTGGGCTAGGAGAGGTTCCTGGGAGGCCTCTAGCCCACCCTCTTTTGTCCACCCAAGGACAGAACTGGGACCCAAAGGGCTTGCCTGTCAGTGAATTAGAGCTGAGAAAGTTCCACTCACCCTGCAGCCCAGCAGGCAGCCTGAGGTCAGTTCTTCCTCCAGACACCCCTATGACCAAAGAAGCAGGACAGGCCTTATTGGTGGGATCCTCCATTGAGCCTGGACTGGAGTGAGTGCTGGAGGCTTCCTTGCTCCCCGCCTAGAGCTGCTCTCCTCAAAATCAGATTTAGCTCCTATCTCATTCCTCCTCCCAGTTGTTAGGACAAAATCTGAGAGCTAGGGAAGGCGTCTGGCCCATGGGGTGTGCCAGTGGTTTTAGAGCTCTTTCTCCTATGCTCTAGGAAGGGCTGCAGCCCCCTGCACCCTGGCTGACCTCATTCCTGCTGGGCAGTGTCAGCGACCCCAGGGTAGACGTGCAGGGAGAGCGCCGACGCCCTGGGTTTGGACTTGCTGTAGTTATAGCCGTCTGTGGCGTCTCTCAAGGTAAATAGGAATTACAGGCCTTCCGGTGTGTTATTAGCTGTAGAACCGCAGGAAAGTGCAGACACTGCAGGGTCCTCTCGAAGGGGAGGCACCTTCCGATAAAACTGTATTTGGAAACTGAAGTCACAAATCTAGCCTGAGATCCAACTCCCCTGGCTCCTCATGGTCCTGCACACTCCTTTTCTGGCTGACTTGTGACATCTTTGTTTTTGTAGGCCACGCGAAGGTGCTGAAGGTGAAGAATTGCTCCCCACTGGGGAGGTGGCCTTGGACTCCTATCCCAACTGGCTCAAATTCCACATTGGCATCAACCGCTACGAACTGTACTCCAGGCACAACCCGGCCATCGAAGCTCTGCTGCAGGACCTTGGCTCTCAGAAGATCACCAGTGTAGGTAGGTGTCTGGCCTCCCTGGGCATGTGTGCTGGCTGAGGGATGCCAGGCCTGCACTCCTGGAGGTCTAGGAAAGTTTGCTCCTTCCTGGAGCCTCACTTCCTGGGATGGATGGGTGGCCTGGGATGCACACAGCAGTGGAAATACTCCTATTCCGTGGCATGGTGAGGACAGTAGGAGGGACAGGAGCATCCCTGGTAACTGCAGCTCCTCCAGCCAGGACTCTTTCTGCTTTAATGCATGTGAGCTTCAGCCGACGACTCAGCTGAGACCCGAGGCTGCTGCTGTGGTTCTGGGCCAGCACCCAGAACCTCAGGTTCAGCCAGGGGTTCCTGGGATTCTCCATTGTCAGGCAGTGACCAGGGCCCACTCCCTCCAATCGGAGCCTGAGCATCTAGGGTAGGGCAGTTTGAAGGCAACTCTGATCAAGTGCTTTGATCTGCTGAATCAGACAGAAAAGCTATTCAGTGTCTGATTCCCAGAGTCATGTGAAGCAGTCCTGAGCATGGAGGTTTGGTGCCATGGTTTTTAGGTGGTTGTGTGAAGGTCTCATTAGTCATCTGTGGCTTGGGAGGTAGTGGGGACAGGCTGAGGCCTGGGGCATTGCAGGGATGGTCCTGGTGCACATAGCCAAGGTGGAGGGCAGGCCTCTGCACGTGTTATGGGCTGCAGTTCCAGGCCCTGTCTCCATGTGTCTCAAAAGCAGTTCTGCTGAAAGGGCTTTCTTGGTTTTGGGCTTCTGTCCAGTTGCTGACACAGAGCAATGTGGAGTTACTCACTGGCCTGCAGGTGCCTCTTTAGAGTCTGTCTGTGGCTCTGTGAACTGTTGGCCCTTCTAGGGATCTCACCTGGCCCTAGAAGTCGGGCCTCACAACTCCCCAGCACTGGGTCATTCACCAGTGGAGAGCTAAAGTGATCTTTCTTTATACCCCTGTGCTGTCCAGGAAGACTCTTGAGTACTCCTCACCCCAGGCCATACCTTGCAAAATTGGGGGGCTTCCACTGAGCTGGGAGCTGTTCTTGTGGATGACAGGGACTATCTTACAGGCAGCCACAGAAGATGTCACTTGCTCCAGAAAATAGATGGGGCTGTTAAAGACATGTCCAATTGGGTCAACCCATTTGGTCCATCCAGCAGATTTCCTGGGAATGTTCTGCCCACTAGGCTACTTCCTTGGGAGTTGGAGTTGGGGTGAGTCCATGAGAAGCTGTTACTATAGACAGATACAGGTTCCTCTGAGAAGTGAATGTGATTGCAGACCCTGCAACCGTCAACAGGGCACATCCACACTCTTGGTGATTAGAAGTGTGCTGCAGAAGGCTGCAAGACAGGGCTGTGTGGAGGGAGGGCTGTGGTCCCCATGGCCAGCAGGCCTGGTATCCACTGCAGCTCAAGGACAATCAGCCACATGCTCTCTGGATCCTACCCTGTGCAGAGATGTGGGACCTGAACCCAGAGAGCAGGGAGAGGCTGGGGTCCCCAGGTCACCACCAATTTTGCCCACCTTGGGTATCCTTATCCCTCTCAACAGAATGGCCCAGCTCTCCCAGAAGGCAGTGGCTGAGGGCACCTGACATCCCAGTGCAGTGGATGGTGCTGATTGCCAGGGGACCCCAGCCCCAGGCTCTGGTTGGACGTTGGTCTGTGCTGAGGGCTGCCTGGGAGGGTTTCATGCCCTTTTTTCCAAGACCACAATGACCAAGCTGATTCTAATTCTGCCTTTTGGGGTAAGGGTCATTGGGAACAGGAGGGAAACATCATTCTGCAGGTGCCAGCAGGTGTTGAGGGAATGGAGTGATGGACAGCCCTGTCACTGAGGCAGGATGTAGCACTCTGGCCAGAGGGGTGGCTGTGATTAGAATCTGAAGTTGCTAGTCAGGGTGTCATAACCTATATCCCATGGACCTGCCATCTGAGTCTAAAACAAACCATTTGAGAACAACTTGACTGGACCTGGATGTTCTGGGAACAGAAGCTGATGGCTGACCTGGTGGCCAGTGCTATTCTCCCAGAATGGAGATGCAGGTTCCTCTGAGGAGTGAGTATGTTTGGTCACAGATCTAGCTTCACCCAGCTGGGCGATGTGTCCTATAGTGCATGCATCCCTTGCACATCCTCATCAAAAGCTCCAAACGGTGTTGCCCAGGGTTGTGAAGAAATGTCCTGTGGCACCTCTCTGGGGTGATTCCTGCCCCACTGCAGAGAGGCTGCAGGCATTAGCACGAGCATCCAGCAGAGTGAGCCAGGCAGGGGTCTCCATATGGCAGCAGCATTTCAGGGTGAGTCAAGTCCCCCACCTAGGAGCTCAGGACTAGGCAAGCACCCACCTTCCCAGGGCCTCACTCAACCTGCAGCCTTAGCTCTGGAGTTCCCACCATGAGTTCACTCTCCTGGAAAGACCCACCCCCTGAGTGAGCAGGAAATCCTGATGCCCAACAGAAAACCCCTGCAGCCCCTCCAGGTGTCCAGGCCCTTCAAGTGTCCTGCTCTGCCGGGAGCCACCAATAGGGGTTGGCCTGACCACCCTGCCATGTCCCTGGAGATCACACTTCCTCCTGGAGGTAGCTGTTCTGGCCAACCGGACTCAGCCTTAGCTGTTGGGAGGGTCCTCCTGGGTGTTAAGAGCCAGAGGTTTTGATGGACACCCAGCTGCTCAAGGCAGCCAGCCCAGCTGGGCCCTCATTGTGGCAGAGCCCAGCGCAGCCTGGATGCATTGTGACCAAGAGCAGGTGGAGCCTTTCAAAGTCAGCCCTGCCTTCCCACCCCCATTCTACAGCCAGGGGACTGCAGCCTTCAGGAGGAGAGGCTTGCCCCTGGAAGCACTTACTTTTGGCTTGGGGTTCTGTTCACCGGGGGCGGTTACTGTAATCTTCAGGTTGTTCCTCTCACTATTGAGTGTGAGCCAGCAATATTGTTTGTAATGGAGATCAGTGTGCAAGAGATCCTGAGCCCTTTCCTCACAGTAGTTTCAGTAAATTTCTTCTTTCAGTACCACTCAGTCCGGTTCTAGAGGCTCTGTATGGCCTAGGGCACAGCTGTCTGTGGCCACAGAGGGTCATTTATAGCAGGCTTCTGGCTGCCTGGTAGCGGCTGTTGCTGCCTCTGAAGAGGCTCAGCCTTTATCCATCTCTGTTCAGCTTTAAGTCAGACTTGCTGCGCCTTCTGCTTGGGCCACGATAATTAAATCTCTATCGTGCACAATTATGGATGCAAAAAATAAATGACACAATTAACTACTCTGCACTTGGAATTGCTTTTTTTTTAAAAAAAAAAAAAAAAAAAAAAAAAGTGCACTGGCATGTGAGGGTTCAGGCAGCCTGGGGCCTAAGATGCAGACTTCACAGTTGCTCCATCCAGGTCAGGACAAAGCCCAGGGTGGGAGAGCGTGCTGAACAAAGGAAGCCTGCTTCCCAGGACAGAAGCCCTCCTGCTAATTGATCTGCCAAGGGGAGGGCAAATCCAGCTAGACTCTGGAATAATTGGTCAGCAGCTTGAGGAACAAAAGGCCTTTGGCTGGGGCAGCCCGGGAAGAGCTGCCTAGGATGGGGGGCTGGGCACAGCTGCCCTGTCTAGTTAGACAGGTGGCACCTGCTGCTGCAAGGCACAGCCCCAGGGTCTGGCTCAGCTTGCAGAGAGACCTGGAGATGCCAGGTAGCCAACACCAACACCCAGTGCTGGAGGCGCCTGAGGTGTCCTAAAAGGACCAAGCCCTGCAAGCATGCCGCAGGGTTCAGGGAGGAGGCAGCTTGGCCCCTGCCCAGCTCCCTCCAGTTATCAGCCTGAAGGCCAGGAGAAAAAGCCCTCGCTGGTGAGGACTTGGGACATCCCTGGCATCCATTTTCTCCGTGCTGATCAGAGGCTGCAGCTGCAACCTCAAATACCTCCATAACCTACAGCTGTGTGCTGGTGGCCTCAGGCTGATTCTCTTCCTATTGCATGGAGGGGCGCTGAGCAGCATTATAGCTTCCTTTTCAAATGACTGTTACTTCCCCCACCCCACCCCCAAAAATAAGCGGCTTGGAGGACAAGTGTGACAGATAACTTCAAGCGGGAGACAGCTGGACAGAAGTAGGCCTGGAGTGTGTGCCCATGGGTCTTGGATTGTGTTGATAGGGCTGCGCCCTCTGGGGTTGAAGCACCCCGGCTTCACAGCAGGATTTGGGGGCACAAAGACCCAGCCGAAAACTGGTGTTGGCTCCTGCTCAGCCTCTTCCTGAAGCTGCTGCTGGCGAGGTGGTGGCGAGGTGGGTACACCCCACACCCTTTTCCATGGGCCCAAGGACAGTGGGGATAAAGGGTTCTGTGAGAATGCCCAGAGTCCGGGTCACATGGCAGACCTCCTCTCTAACCCAGGGATATGTGAGGCTGGACAGGAAGGACAGGGTGTCACATTCTCCAAACGTGAGCCCACCCTTTCAGAGCAAGTCTTAATTAATCTTTCAGAGAGAGTCTGCACCTGCCCTTAAAACAAGGTAGTGAGACTGAAAAACAGTTGAACCACCCACCTGACTGTGACCCGAAGGATAGCCATTGTCCCACCTTTCAGAGGAGATGGCCAAGGGTGGCCATGTTGGAGGCCCAGCTGGCCACAGGGAAGCCTCTCACACGTGGACATGCTTGTGTGATCCAGAGGTCTTTAAAAAATAGAATTCATTTTTATAAAAGTCAGGAGAGGGACCTTTAAAATACAGGTTGGGGTTCCTGTTAGAAATGGGGAGACTATTGGTTTCCCACAGGAAAACAAGTGCTGAGCTGGGCTGCTCTGGCATTGCACTCCATCACTGCCCGTCCTCTGTGGGCACTGAGGAGTGGCCTTGTGTTTGCACACATGGCAGAGCTGGGCCTGGCAGCTCCTGCTCCTTGGCCACCTCCCTCACACTGGGGTGAGTCTCTCCACCCAGGGCTGCCCTTGTCCTTCGTCTGGGGAGTTCCTAGCAGAGTGCTAGAGCCTCTGGAGATTGGCTTGCCGGTCACACAGGCGACTCATGCATTAGTATTCCTGTAGCGACAACTGTGCATTTATAGAATTTACCTTCTTAAGGAATTTCTCAGGGTTCTTCAGGACATGCAAAAATCTCCTTCCTTCTGACATATTCTGAGGAAAGACCATAAGCAAAATGCCCATGCCCATAGGGGGTCATGGGATTTATGGTGCCAATGGGCATTGTGAATGAACACGTAGTGCGCTCTGTTAGCATTTGTTAATGTGTGTAGCGAATGATGCACTCAGAAGTATAACAATTAGCAATGCATGTTCAAGCATGTCTGGGAACCCTTCTATTCAGGGATGCCAGGGAAGGTGCAGAGCTGTCATCTTGGGTCTGCAGAAGGTGGGACTAGCCGGGAGTGGGGGGAGGACTGGGAAAGTGGCTGGAGCATAGGCATCTACACTACCTAGAGGCCAGCAGGGCTCTGATGCATGTGCTGATTGGTGGGGTGTGACCTGGATTTGTGTGGCCACAGAAGGAGATGGAGAGAAGGTTTCAGGTGGAGATTCAGTGGACTAGTCACCTGGGTCTGGGTCTCATTCTGGGATAAAGAATTTCCAGGGAGGTGCACTGGGTGTGTTCCAGGACAGCCCCATCTCCACCTGGCCTTGGGCCTTTTTGGAATTGCTGCTCAGTTGAGATGCTCCTGAGGCCCAGCCTAGCAGGTTAGGACTGCAAAGCAGGAGGCCTATCAGTGAGGGCATCTCCATCTGCTCTTGAACCTGGGGCCTGCACCTGGGTCCACCGGAGGCTTAATCCCTTTATACTAGTCATCTGTTTGCCCCATGGGGGTTACAGGGAGCTGGTGATATACAGGGCCAGGAATGGCAAGGCAGATGGGCCTCGCTTCCAGACAAGAATGATTAAACTGACCAGATTTGCATAATATTTGGTTATTTTAAAAACCAGGATTACAAGCCCTGGAAAGAGTTGATGTGCTGTCCCGGATTGGCCCAGGCAGGAATAATTAAATCCAGCAACCCTGGTTATTAAATGGAAACAGGAACATCAAATGGGGTTTAATCGGGCCACTAATTTTTTAATCATCACTTCTTTTTTCATCTTATGAAAAATGTAGTAAATGTTCATTGTAGGAATCTAGAAAGCACAGATAAGGAAAAGTAGGAAATTAAAGTCATCTGAATTCTACTCCCCAGAGATAGCAAGGGATTTGGGCGCCTGTCTGTGCATTCGAGTTTGAAAACCCATGCTTTGTGTTCTCGAGTTTTTAAAAGAAAATGGTTCCGATTATAAATAGTAAGCACCATGCTGTGCTTACTGAAAGTTCTTTGGTTCTGTTTAGGAGGGTGAGATTGTAGTCCGTCCTGCGGTGTTACAGTACACCTGTTCCATGCAGGGTGCTTAGTCCCTTCCTTGGCAGAGCCAAGATGTCAGCCCATCTTCTGGATGCAGCACCCAGCCCATCACACACTGTGAGCTGTTGGGCAGTGGCCAGTGCTGCCCAGGAGTATGCCAGGCTGGGCCCAGGTCAGCTCTGGGTCAAGCACCTTGCATGACATCTGCAATGTCAAGTGGCCTCATAAGCAAGCTCCCCCACCTAACCTAAGAGTAGCACCATGCACATTCCCAGCCTGGGGCCCTTCTTTGTGAAGAGGCTGGACAGGCCTCCTGAGCCCCCTTTAGCCGACGAGGAAGCTGAGGCTGGAAAGGTGAAGGTCTCTCCCCTCTGGGGTGCCCCAGCCTAGGAAAGCTGAGCAAACTCCAACCTCAGGGTCAACAGGGAGCCCCCTGGACTTTTCTCCACCAAACCTACAAACTGACCCATTTTCTGGCATCCTGCCCTATGCCTGTGGCCACCACCAGCAAAACTGGCCCTACACTGGCCCTGCTCCCTCCAGGTCCTGTCCTCGTAGCACACATACATGCCAACCAGCCACATGAAGGAACAGACAGGGGAAGCACATCTGTCTACTCCCCTCCCTTTGGGGTCCCCAGAGTTCCCAGGCCAGGCTGCCATCATCTCACCTGCTCCTCTGAGCAGGTTCCTACATATAGCATGGCCTGCGCCCCCCATGCCCACCCGCCAACAACTGCTTCTCAACCCCTGGCTGGCCTTTTCTCCCCCTAAATAAGCACAGGTGCACACCTTGTTCTCTGCACTCTACCCCCAGGTGACCTTGCTGCCTGAGGCTTTTCTCACTTGTGGGAAGTGCTCAGAACCTCAGGCTGCTGGCCCACCTGCATCTCCCCCAGGTTGCTGCCACCCTCCCCACCTAACTGGGCTTTCTCTGTCTCTGCTCTATTCCAGCCAAACAATGGCTCTATCTGAGACCCAAGGGTCATCCTGGTCACATCTCCACACCCCACACCATTCCATCAAAGTGCTCCTCAGAACCCCCATCTTTTCATATCCACCGTCCTCTGTTGCCATTGCCCCAGCCCAACCTCTCCCGGACTCTGGCTTCCACCCTTAGCCTGAAGCTGCCAGGTGAGCACCTGGGAACCCCATAGGGCCCTCACCTGCCATGGGTTCCACCCCCACTGAAGTGGGCAGCAGCAACAGCTCTTCAGGCCCAAGCTTTCTTCCTCCAAGGACAATGTGTTTGTTCTGCCTCTGTAGTGCCAGCTCTGTTCCTTCCTCCCAGAAAGACCACCCCTCAGGCACCAGCACATGCCCACTTTGCCTCTTGCCGCCAGCAGCCTGAAGTCATCTTGCGATTCGTAATGTGTAGCCTGCATACCTGGCTCTTAGACACACTTGTGACATTATCGTGTGGCCAGAGTGCGGTATGGACACAGGACACACTGGACAAGCCTCTGCACAGGCTAGACAAGCTCCTGTGTGCATCGTCCTGGCCAGCTTGTGCTGTAGGGTGACCCCCTTCCCAGCCCTGTATCCTGGTGGCCCGGGGCCTTCACTGTGGCCCCAACCTGGAAAATGTCCTTCCTTCTGCTGCTCCATTAGCAAAAAGGAAAATCCAAGGTCAGGAAAGGGGTTCTTTGGGGAATTCTTCATCCTTCTGAGCTGATGAGATGCTGGAAATGAGTGCCCACCATGTCCTGATGACAGAGGGGCCTCCCACTTAAGGGTCTTTATAATCTCCTTCGAGTAACTCTGCAATCTCCTGCAAATCCCAGGAGCTTTCGCTGGAGAATCTCCACTCTGTCCAGGCCACAGTGGGGTTGTGCGCAGGGCAGGTATAGCAGTGCATGCATGTGTGGAATATGTGTAGGGGTGTATATATGTATGCTTGTGTTTAGGAATGTATAGGTGTTGTGTGTGTATTAGGGTGTGTGAGGGTATGCATGTATGTAGGGGTGTGTGTGTATGTGTATAACTGTGCTAGCAGTTAAGCACACCTAGCCATCCCTGCTGGAAACCAGGCCCTTGGTGCTGTGACACACTTACGCACACTCCTGCTGAGACCTCCAGCTGGAATCAACAGGAGTCCACCCAGCTCCCACAGCTGGACCACGGGGGAGCCTGTGCCAGCCAAGGGTACATCATTGCTGAAGCCCCCCCACTTCCCAGGCAGAATGGGGAGGGGCCCTCAGCCAGAGGATCCCAGCTGATTGGAGGATAGAGTGTTGGGCTGGCCTGCCCACCTATCCTCACTGGGGCCTGAGGCAGCCAGTGACCCTGTTTCTCTCTCCCTCCTCCCTGCAGCCATGAAGTCGGGGGGCACGCAGCTCAAGCTCATCATGACGTTCCAGAACTACGGGCAAGCACTGTTCAAACCCATGAAGTAAGTGCCGCCGCTGGGCGGGTGCAAGGGCGGGTGGAGTGTGAAATGGGGGAGGCAGTGTTTTCTGAGAGAAGATCTTGGAGTGGACTGTGGTAGAAGCCCAAGAGGCAGCCAGAGTGACCTGCACCCTCGCTCTTCCTGTTTGCGTCAGCATTATGTACCTGAAAACCTGTCAGGGCGTCACCCTCCCCGTGCAGGTGGGTTTTCAATTATAAGAGATGGGGGTGTGGACACCAAAGAAACCTCTGGAATGGGGACATGGGCTCTCCGACTCATAAAGGGCTGTTCAGGTGGCTGTTCTGTCTCACACTTGTCCTGTGGTCCTGGTGGCCCTCAATACAGGAACAGTGAAAAGCTGAGTGTCAAAAAAAAAAAAAAAAGGCAGTCTAGAGGTAGCAGCTAGAGTTGACTGTCTGCCTACAATCTGCCTGCCTACAATAGATAAAAGAGGAACCATGTCACCAAAGTCCCATGGAACACTGAGCAACACATGACCCCACAGGAAAGTAGATGACTTCGTGGTTTGTGACGTCCACTATGATCATCATGGGGCTTGGATACCCCAAGGGGTCCCAGCATGCACCATGTCTTCTGTTAGTTGCAAACAAGGAGATTCCTTGTTTAAGCACAGTTTGCAACCCAAGTGCCCAGGAGCACACACGGGTCTCAGACGTGACTGAGGGGCTAGACAAGGACTGTGGCACATGGGGTGTGGGTCCCCACAGAAGGGGCCAGCTGTCCGTTGACTCATCAGATCTCAGCCATCTGGCCTGATTTCTAATTTTCAAGATAAGCTAGAGATGCAGAGATTTTCCTTTTTAACATTCAAATGTTTAAAAATGGTAACTAATTCAGAAGCATTAAGATATTTTGGAAGACTCAAAGAGGGAAGGTTTCCCAAGGATCCTTTCCACGGGCCTCAGTTGCAGGACTTCAGGAGCCTGGGACTGAGTACCACACATTGCCACAGGCTACAGAAAGGCTATTCATAGAAATGACAGAGAGACCAGGAAAGCATGCCATGGGCTGAAATGAAGGCTCTCCACCCTTGTCCCTCTCGCCATGGGGCCAGCCCAGGCTGGCTAGTGTGTGCTGGGCTGACAAGTCTGTGTTGGCTATGAGATTATGGGGCTTCTTCCATGATTTCATGCTTGGAAGTAGAGTTCTTGCCTTCCTCTGAATCTGCCCCGTGCAGGGAACTACCAACTGGCCCCAGTGAGGTGCACGGTTGGCCACAGCCCCTTCGTGACCAGAAGCAGTGTGGACAGCCAGTTGGTTTCTTCTGCCCCCACCTGACCTTTGTAAGCTGGGCAGGAGACACCTGCACAACAGGAGGGGAGTGTGGCTGGGGCCAGTGTGGTCCTCCTGGGACATCCCAGAGGGTGGTGGGGAACAGGCCTCCTGTGGCTTCTTTACATCTCACATCTCTGGCTTAGGAGAGCCAGCTGTGAGAGATCTCAGCCTCTCCAGTGAGCTATTTTAAGGCCCCCATTCTCTAATATGAGGGGCACCACTGAGGAGCCAGGCGGAGTCAGGTGAATAAATGAGCCTGGACAGGCAGCTGCTATCCAGAATCCAGGACAACAGCTGTAAGTGATGTCTCCAGGCCCCAAGCTGTGCTGGAGGTGGGCGAGGGAGGTAAGTCTGGGAGACAGATTTCTGCTGCCCTCTGAGGGGTGCTGTTCCACTCTGCTGATGCTTTCAGTTGTGCTGGGAGGCGTGTGGGAGAGCTCCACAGGGTTGGAACTTTTGGGAGAGCAAGTCCTATGGGCTCAGGTGACCTGGCCAGTGGAGAGTGGAGAGATTCTAGGTTCTGATGCTTCTCCTGCAGAGCTGGACTGGCCAGCTGTGCGCAGCAGCAGCCATGGTGTCTTCTGCTGCAGCTCTGCAGGGCTATTGCTACCCACATCCCATGGGCTCCTGCAGCCTGGAGGCTCTATGCCGAGGTTTCATCCCCACCATATAACTGCAGGACAGTTATATGAAGATGAGGGGACAAGAGCTCCGAGAAGCAGGTAGACACAGAGTTCCATAAGTGTCCACCCGCTGCCTGGCGGACATTGTCATATCCCACCTTGGTCACACAAGGAGCTGAATTCAGAGGCCAAGTAACTTTCCATGGCAGTCCCTGACTCCAGGACCCCATGGAGAAGGTCCTGGGAGGGGTCCAGCAGCTCCAGATATCAAAGGCACAGGCCTCAGAGAGTCTAGGCTATGGCAGCAGGCAGTGAGGTTGGTGTGAGACGTGGGCTGATGGGAGGTTGAGGCCTGTTAGAATATGGACGTGGAAACAAGGTCGAGATCCTGCAGAAGCTGGGGAATGTGTTCAAGGCTGGCAGAGCAAGGCTTTGCACATCCTGAAGCCAACCTGGATTCCTCCTTTGAAGCATTAGGGGTGGGAACAGAGGTGGAGACCCATGCTAGAGGCTATCACTGCGTTCTGCAAATTACCCACGTGTCTTCCTGACCTGGTCTTCTTGGTAGGTCTTGTAGATTTTCCCAGACACCTGGAACCTTCCTCACCCCATGACCTCAGGCTCATGCCTGTAGGGTTCTTATTCCCCAGTGACTGTGATTTGAATACGAAAACAGCTGTGGTTCCTAACCAACGTATTAAGAAATTAAAATCCATGGATGATTAACAGTTCTCCTTAAGAAAGGATGTTCTCCTGGGAGAAAGTCCTGCACTGCATACATTCCCAGGAGAGTATTGGGAATTAATTAGATGGGCAGAGTAACTTTGCCTCTGGGATTGTAACGGGTGTAAGTTGAAAGCATCAAGAGAATAGCACCCAGGGCAGTGCCTGGGGGTCCTTCATCATGATGGGCAGGTGTGAGAGAGACTATGGAAGGGTCAGTGGTCATGTCTTGGTAGACTTTGAAAACATGTAACAGCTTGTCAGCCCTGAGCTCCTGGAGACTCTTGCTTTTGTGCTAACGTGAGTACTTAAGCTTTTTTAAAAACAGCTTTATTGAGATGTAATCACAGGCCATAAATTCCCCTACTGAGAGTCTGCAGCTCAGTAGCTGTTAGTCTGTTGACAGAGTTGTGCCATATCACCACTGTCGATTCGAATCAATTTTTCATTATTCCAAAAAGAAATTCCTTAAAATTTTCATTGCTCACCAGCCCCCTTGATCCCCCCAGCACATGACAAGCTCTAATCCCCCTTTCCGCCCCTCTGTGGATTTATTTACTCCGGACTTTCACAGACATGGAGTTGTACAGTGTGCCTTATTTGTGACTGGGCTTATTTCACATGACAGTGTTTCACGGTTCGTCTGTGCTGTGGTGTGCGTCAGGCTTCGTTCCTTCTTATTGCTGAGTGATCTTCCATTGTACACACGGGCCACGTCTTGCTTATGGGCCTGGGGTTGGCGATAACAACAACATTATCTACAGTGAGTAACGCTGCTTTGAACATTCACGATCAAGTTTTGCATGGACATTTTCTGTCCTCTTGGACATGCACCTAGGAGCAGATGCCAAGTCATGTAGCAACTGTGTTCAACCACTTGAGTTTGGTTTGTACTGCAGCTGTGCCATCTTGATCTCAGCCATCCTGGTGTGTGTCAGTTGGAATCTCATGGTGTTTTGACTTCCCTAATGCTAGTGTCATCAAGTGCCTTTTCACAAGCTTGACCATTTGTGTATCTTCTTTGGAGACTTCAATTTGGAGTTTGTGTTATTTCTTTAGTTGGGTTATTTGTCTATTTGCTCTTAAGTGGTGAGAGTTCTCGATACACTCTGAATGGGTCAGTGGTCATGTATTGGTAGACTTTGAAATCCAAGCATGAGCTTGGATTCCTAGGTGTCCATTCTATTTATTTTTGTTGCTGCATGCACTCTTGGTGCAGTGTTTATGCTAATGGAGCACACAGATGTTGGGGGAACCATGGTGCAGGTACATCTGGGCAGAGCTGGCAGAATAGCTGCTTTTGGACTCAGATGAGTCAGTCCATGGTTCAGTGGTCTGAGCCTCCATTCCTGCTTGTGACCTCCAGGAAATGTTTTTCCCACCAGAACTCAGTTTACCCACTTGTCAACAAGGTCTTGTAGAAAAGTCTCAAGGCCTGTGCAGGTGTAAGGCTGTAGGAATGGTTTGGGAACAGACATACTTTATCCTGAAGGCAACGGAGAACTGGGTGACTCATGGGGCATGGAACTAGGACGTCCCACAGCGTCTTTGCACAAACTGCTTCCTGGAAAGAAACCTTTCAGGCATGCCCACAGCTGCCATGACGCAGCCATGACCACCTCCTGACAGAAGTGTTCATCCAACCAATTCTGTAACATTCATCAAGCCCCTGATGGGAACACAGACATCATTCAGACCCAGGGCTCATGGGGAAGCCTTAAGCCCTGGTCATAGTTCCTCTCCAGTGGCTCTCTAAATTTCCTGCTGTCAGGACAGAGCAGTGCATATCCAGCCCTCAAGGCAGCCAGTGTCTGCTCCTTGTGGATGTGTGCAGAATGAGTGACAGTCTGGGCAAGCTGGGGTGGTACCCACAAGCTCCACTGCCCAGAAGGGTCCGGCTGAGGGAAGAACAGCCCGAGCAGCAGTGTGCGGTGGAAGCAGCCTCCAGCTGAGCCTCATTGTGAGTGTGAAGGTCAAGTGAAGGTCATTCCCTTTAAGCATAGGACCAGCCTGTGCAAAAGCCCAGAGGTCAGGTGGACACTATCCAGGACAGACAGCCTCCACAGGGCTGAGCTGGGCTGTCCAAGGGTCCAATGTGGCAGACGGCAGCCTACAATGAAGTCAGTTATGGGATAAGATTGAACTGCGGCTGCTCCATCTCTAGCTGCACCTCAAGTGCCCACTGGTTGCATGTGGCTGCAGTACCATGTTGAAGTGCAGTTGCAGAACAACCCATTGCCACTGTGGTGTCCAGCAGTCCTGGGTCTGAGCACAGGCTGCAGGGCCAGTTCCTGGAGCATTTGGGGGCTAGCACCTGGTATTGTCCCCAGGAGCAGCAGTCAGCAGTGTGCTGGGCCTCTG